CTGACTAGCCATGCACACAGTTCTGCATTCAATCCCTAGTACCCTCCATAGGCAACCCAAGGACTTTCTTGAGGTTGAAGGCATAATCCAGAAGCTGGGCTGCCCATGCAGGATGCGGGCTGGACGCCTGGAGGCAAAGGGACAATGAAGTGCTGGCCACATCAGTATGAGGCATGCAGGTTGAAGGGAAGAGGCCTGATCCCCTGTGAGAATCCACGACTGAGTTTTAAAAGCCATTAACTCGTGTAATCAAACATTTGAAGCCTCCCGGCAGAGGGCCTGTACAATAGTGCAGCTCTCAGCGGGACAGAGGGCTTCCCGGCAGAAGGACTCTGAAGTCGGTAACTAGAGGCAGGAAGGAGGAGATGGGGTGCTCAGCAATGAGTCCCCATCCCAGGGCCTGTGAGCTCCAGTCACTGAAAATGACCCACAGCCCACAACACAGGTCCTGTGTTAGCATCGGAGTCAACAGCATGAACATGGAACTGGGAAAGGAGCGTGAGTAACCAGCCACATGCCTGGTCAATGAATGTGTCCGGGCACTACGCAGGATCAAATTCAGTACAACTCTTCTCCTTGCTGTGACCAAATACCTCACAGAAGCAAGTTATTCTGGCTCCAGGCTCAGAGAGTCCGTCACAGCAGCCATGCATGACGGCTAGAGGGGCTCTGTCAGTGGTAGGGGGAGCTTGAGTCTTCCCACGTCTCAGTGGCAGACAGAAGGGTGGAAGACAAGGCCCCGGACCCTCAAGGATCTGCCCTCATGATGCACCTCCACCAACCGTGCCTGCCACCCTAAGGCTTTCACAGCCTCCTCAAACAGCACCCCCAGCCGGGGACCAAATATTCAAACACATGAACCTGAGGCTGAAACTTCACATTCAGATGCAACAGCTAACAATTCTGTTCTGCGAGTGAGAAAGGGAAGAGAGGAAATGCAGCTGGGGAACTGCAAATGATGCCAGATGGTGAGGATGCCCTGGACTGCACTGTAGGCTAGTACAGCCGGAGCCAGGTGAGGAGGAGGGAGGTCCCCAAGGGGTCTGGAGAACCTACTTCCCAGGAATGGAATCACGCCCTCCCAGCTCTGAAGAACCACAGCTTAGGAGGTAAAATCCACACTTGGGAGTAGGAACATTCTCTCGGCTGCATCCACTCCCCTGGGGTGCTGCTATTGCTGAACAGACTACCTCTGTTTGAGGAGGGTGGGGTGACTCTTATCAGGCCTGTTGCATCCTCTTCCCTGAACCCTGCTTGGTTAAAAGTACTGAAATCCAAGGCACCACTCCTAGACATTCTTACTTAAGTCAAAAGTAAGGCCCCCACTGTAGGTATTTCCTGAAAGCTCTCCAAGAGACCCTGATGTGCAAGATGGAGGTGCCTGGATGAGGGTCGAATGGCCAGGAATATAATATAGTAACAAGGTGGGAGCTCTTGAGGTAGCAATGGGAAAGAAGATGGTGAATTTGACAGGCAGGCCATAAAGATGCAGAATAAAATGTTCCATTTGATGGGATACAGAGGTGGTCTAGGACCACTAGGTTCCAGATACAGGCATTCAGCCTGAGGCTGTGGCTGTGGCTGTCAGAGGTGTTGGAGAGGAAACAAGCTCATTTTACACCCCTGGAAACTTTTCTGTCCCCCGCTGACGTCCTTTACTCAGGTTTACCAACCTCCAGCCTTGCAGAGAGCCTCAAAAAGATGAGTCTAGGGCTTGCAAGATGGCTCGACAGGCAAAGGGACTTGATGCCAAGCCTGATGATCCAAGTTCTATCCTAGGGACCTACATGGTAAAGAAAGAACCAACTACAGCCAATTTTCCCCTAACCTCCACACTTGCATCATCATTACCATCATCAGCAGCAGCAACAACAACATGATCCCATACACACACACCATCATCACCATCATCATCAACAAACATGATCTCATTCATACACACACATACACACACATACCACACATACACTTGGAAGTAAGCCTGGTTCTCTCCCATCCTTGACCTTCTAGAGGGACAGACATGCCTCTGTCCACTCCACCCCATGTCTGTCCACCCCACCCGTCAGGTCTGTAGTAAACACAAACATCTGGCACTAATTCCTGATTTCAAGGGTTAGGGGATTTGCTGGTTCTGGTGGCGCAGGCTAGTAGGGTTTGCTGAAGGGGGCAGAGGCAGGAGCATCTGGAGTTCAAGGCCAGCCTGGGATACACATGCTGGGCAGTGGTGGTGCACACATCTTTAATCCCAGCACCTGAGAGGCCAAGACAGGTAGATCTCTGAGTTCAAGGCCAGCCTGGTCTACAGAGCTAGTTCTAGGACAGCCAGGGCTACACAGAGAAACCCTGTCTCAAAAACAAACAAAACAAATAAATAAAAGCAAGAGTGGGGAGAATCACCAAACATGAGTAAGTATTAGCTTTGGCACTATGGGCACTGTAAATACAAAAGACCAGAAATAAAAGTGAAGTTCCCACACTGAACCAGACCACAGCTGCTTGTGTCCTGACCTCTAGTGATTTGTGATGTCTTACACAGATGTCGGAGCCTACCTCCCAATGATCCATGTTGCCTGAAACAAAATGCCCAGTTTCAAGAAAAGCAACTTCTATTGTAAGATTATTACTTAAGACACTGAGGCATCCTCTTGTCTATCCAGATATGGATCCCCCCCCACAAATGACCCAGGAGATAAGACCAAGTACCTGCCCCACAACTGTTCTACAAGACATCCAGCCCCTCTACTCAGGCTGTTCTCTCTGGAAATTCACCTGCTGCCTCTGAAGTATATTTCAGTAAGCATGCTGTCTTTTCTTGCCATGGTAAATTCTTACTTCCATGTCACCAGCTTTCCCTGTGCCTTTCCAAAAGGCAAGTAGGATGTAAGAGAAGTGCTACCCTGGGGTCTTTGGAGGAGGAAGGGAAAGAAATCACACGGCTTGAGGGAAAAGCTGGATGGGTACGGAAAGCCTTGAGCTGACTCCTGCAGGATTTGAGTGCGCAAAGGAGAGGAGGAAGAGATTTGGCCAGAACAGCTGAGCAAGTCCAGTCCAGGAGACCAGGCCCCTGGTGCAGAGTTTGCCTGGTGGAGCCTCAGAGAAAGATGGGACAAGGAGCAGCATCGGGGGGAACAATGGTCCACCTTTGGTGCTGTGACCGGCGCAGTGAGGTGGCTGGATATAGTGGCCTCTACAGGGACCACGTACTATGGGGCTCTTGGAACCAGACTGGACACCAGACCAACACACCTCCCGAATCTGAGGGAGAGCTGAGCCTCCCATCTGTCTACAATTGGGATATGGGTTTGGATTGCCATTAAAGTCTCCTGCCTGCTCTACCTGGGAAATCCAAGGCTCTCTGTCCAGTTAGTCTTGAGGCCACACAGAGGAGATCCCGGAACAAGCTTCATGGGCAGTCACCACCTGCCTGTTCACCGCCTCTGAAGACATGCCTTCTGCTGTGCCTTTTAATCTCGGGCTCTCCTGCCCCTGAAGGTGCTGCAAAAGCCAGCATGGCTGCTGTTCTGGGGTGCTTCTCAGTGAGGTTTCTCCCTGTGATGCGCATTGCAAATGTCAGGAACCAGGAGCATGCGCTAGTTGACTTTTTTGCTACCTCCCTAGGTCTCTTCTTCTTAAACTTAATTATTTTTAGTGTATGGGTATTTGACCTACACGGATGTTTGTGCACTACATGCATGCCGGTACCTGAGGAGGCCAGAAGAGGAAGACTGGAGTTGTTACAGATGGTTGTGAGCCACCATGAGGATGCTAGCATCAAACCCAGGTCCTCTGGAAGAGCAGCCAGTGCTATTAACTGCTGAGCCATCTCTGTAGTCCTCTTGGAACTCTTCTTGAACAGCACAGAGACCGGCTATTCCCTCAGGGGACATTGCAGCTTCTAGGATGACTCCCTTGCAAGTATGTGCTGTGGTGTGGTGTGAGTGGTTTGTGTTTCTGTATCCTGTTTGTTTTCTGGACCCTGTTTCCAGCTACACACATCATGGCCTGGGGGTGGGGAGTGGCAGGAAGTGCCCTCCAGAGAATGTTCTGAACACACACACACACAAGCCACACACACAACACACACCCTCAGCCTTAGCAGATCCCCTGTGCTTCCGTCCACCACTTAGGCAAGACAGCCTCAACATCTCACCTACTGGGTGTCCAGGTAGGGACCAGACTGACAAGGAAGCCATGCCAAGCCCTACTTGGGCTCTATTAGAAACTGTGATGAGAGGGAAATGTCCTCAATCCTCCACCCAGGATTCACAGAACTCCAAGTGCCTCCAAACACACAACTGGCTGAGCTTGTCCCTCTGTCTGAAGGACGGATCATCTGTCTTCTCATCAAAGCCCTTCCCCATGTCTGGGTGCATCTGTGAAGACTAATTCACCAGGACTGAGGTCAGGTTGCGGCTCCTCTCCACATGGCCAAAGGTGCCACTGACTCTGGGTATGAATCAGATAGGTCTTTCAGATATGAATACTCCAGAACAGAGGGAGGAAGAGGTCACATAGCCCGGTGATGGGCGTTCTGGGCCCCAGATGCTCAGGAGCCACCTAAGGCTTTCCTCTCTAACAAGGAACCCTGTAGACTGCGGTGTGTGAACAAGAGCCCTAAGAACAAGAGACCCAAGAGGCAGATGCCACATGGGCTCTCCACTGGTGGAAGCATCAAGCCACGTCCAGATCAGCCATACCCTAGTCATAACCAGAATAGAACCGTGGATTTCTCAGTTTTGCTGGGACCTTTGTAGGTACCATGGAGTTGGGTTTGGTATTACACACACACACACACACACACACACACACACACACACACACACACACACACAATATTTGGCTGTAAGAAGTTTTAGCTGTGTTAATATTTACATGCATTATTTCACCTCTGTGGTCAAGAGCTAGAGTGACTAGGAGGTGCTACATGCAGGCTTCAGTCACTGGGCACACCTGGTCCTTCCAACTAATGCAGTTTCTGATATCCTCCGTGAAGCAATTACCTGCTGGTGAGGGCTTTGTGCTAGGCGGCTGCTCAGGAGAGGCAGATGCAAGCCCTTGTGGTAAGTGTGGAGGTCCGCGGCCATGGTCTGAGGAGCTACATCTGTGAAGAGAGGACACACTCAGCACAGGGCAGGCCTGGAGACAGGCCTGCGGCTGTGGGGAGGGAATGAAGTCACCTGGCTGAAGAGAGAGACCCATAGGTGAAGGGCAGGACCCTCAGACCAACAGCCATGGGACACATGCACCTTAGCTATAGCCTTGTGACTTTAATTACTGATCCCCAAAGCCACCTGGCTACACAGTCGAACGGTTTTTCCTGGGTGAACACAATACCGTAGGTCACTCTGCCTCCCTGGAGATCCCAAAAGCCTCATTTACCAATGGACTTGAAAAGACCCTACTTTAGTTAGCAGTTTGAGGGTCTGTCCTAACACCCCCCCCCCCCCCCCCCCGCTTCAGAACAGAAAGGGGGAAAGGGGTGTGTCCTATCCAGTTCCCATATCAGCTTCAGACTCCTCAGCACTGCTCTAGACACGATTCAACTCTGCACAAAGTCAGACCCGGCTTTCTTCGGATTTATTGGGAACTGAATTTGCTCTGGGACTGTCTGTCCCCTCCCCCCGTACTCCAGACATGGAGTTCTCCTCCAGCCTGCACCTCCACGAGAGGAGGAGAAAGGAGAAAGCAGACACGATACATGGGTACAGGTTGCCGGACGGGGTATCTTCAGACGACTTGTAATGGAAGTAGCTTGGGAAGTGCTTCCTATGGGAGACTCACTGGGGAGCCAGGTGACATGCCCTGGCCATCCGGGACTGAGCATGGGGTGTTGATGCCTCACGCAGAACACCGACGGGAAGAGAGGGATGTGGTCTGACACTGTTGCTCTTTATTGCCACTGTGATGGGGGTGGGAGCTCACATAGCTACCAAGGGTATTTAGGAAATGTAATAAAAATATCTCTGATAGGGTCTTACCTAGCCCAGGCTGGCCTCTAATTCGCTATATAGCCAAGGATGACTTAAACCCCCGACTCTCCTGCCTCACTTTCCCAGTGCTGGCAGGACATGTGTGGGACATCACACAGTCTCTGCTGTCCTGGGGATCAAACCAAGGGCTTTGTGCCTGCTAAGGAAGCTACTCTGATAACTGGGCTACAACCCTGGTCCCTGACTTTTCTTTAATTGAATCTTCATTAAATTAAAGGGGAAGAGCAATCTGCCATGAGCAGCTCAATTTAATTCTGCAAAAGATGCCTCTCCCACCACGTATCCGACGACCAACATCTCACTAAAGCCAGGGCTGTACTGTAAATGCCCTCACCTCCAGGCCTGCCATCCTCAGGCCCTACCATCAGGCCAGAGGTCCTTTCTTGGTCCACACAGCTGGTGTCCAGGTGCCCTGAGAGCAGGCGTGAGCCCCAGCTCCTTCCCCCTCTCCCTCCCCCACCGTCCTCCACCGTCTCTCCACCCGGGCACCAGCTGTGCCCACCCAACCAGGCTGGGATCTTTCAGGTCCCACAGTCAGGTCCAGGCAGACTCACCACCGGCTCCAGGCCACTCTGTTGCCACAACAAGGCAGCCCTGGCAATGAGTGCAGGAGACTTGGTGTGTTCTGCCCGCCCAGAGTTCAGCCTCTGGCCCTGTGGCACGGGCTGTCTGGCTCTGGGGAGACTTGGGTTCTCTCAGCTATGGCTCTCTTGCTCTCTTCGATCTTTTCTCCTAGTGCCCGCGGGTGTTGGGATTGGACTCTGGCTCTCCATAGCACGACAGTAGGCCAACCCCAGACCCACTGTAGAAAGCGGCTGCGTGTTGCCTGCCACTGACATCCCTTTCACACCTAGTTAGGCGTGGAAATACAAGCCATGCTGTTTCTATTCTTCGATTTGGAAACATGAAGCAACCACCTTTGAGCTCAGCTCTCCGCCAAGCAGAGGTGTCACAGCCGTGTTCCTGCGCCCTACCGTCCCAGGTCTTCCACGTGCTGTGCTTGTGATGACCCCAGGTCCCTCAGCCTTTGAGGAGCCTCTTCTCACTCCAGCATTTACAGCCAAGCACGGACAGGATGGCCCTTAGTGGTCCCCCAGGCACTCGAGTTGGCTCGTGCCATTAAGAACACTCCTGGGGCTGGGCGGTGGTGGCACACGGGAGGCAGAGGCAGGAGAATCTCTGTGAGTTCAAGGCCAGCCTGGTCTACAGAGTGAGGGTAGCGAGGTGGGGGGGGGACCAAAACACCCCTGGGGCTGGAGAGCTTGCTGCTCTTGTAGAGACGGCTCACAACTGTCCGGAACTCGAGTTCCAATGCCTCCTTCTGGCATCCCAGGCACCATGGTGCACATCCATGGGCACATAAAATAAATAAATATTAATAAAAGTGCACACTCACACTCAGCAGCTACCTGGTGAGGGTCCAGGGTCATCTCAGGCTACTCTGCTGGGCAGGCCCATGCTGGGCTGGTGTTTACCACTGAGCCACACCCTGGCCCTCCGGCTCTGCCTCCTAACAGAGTGCACACCCAGCAAGGGCGAGTGACCCCATGCATTCCTGCTTTGCCTCTGGCAGGCAGGGTCCTGCAGGACTCTGATTTGCCTCCTCTTACCTCTCCCAGACCCTCTTCCAGACTGACCTGTGTGACTCGGGCCCTCTGATCCCTTGTCCTCTGCCTGGCCAGCCTCCCCTGGTGTTTGATCGGACACCCATGTAAACGTCTGTGCTTGGTCACCTTCCCAGTGACTCAGTACTTGGAGTTCCTCATCCTGCCCCGCCCCACTCTGGCTCTGAAGGAACTTGATCGGCTTTTTCCCCCCTCACTGCTCAGGTCATCTGATCCTTTGCCATTTTCACATTGTTTACTAATTGTAGCCTCCCACCCCAGGAACATAAGCCCTAAGGGTCTCCTGGGGCAGGGAGGCATCTAGCGCTCCAGCAAGTGCCTCCCCTATGACTGGCTGGCCATCACTGGGTAAGAAGACAGCGCACGCACCCCACGGCCCCTTCTATTCTCTTCTGCCGCCACCCCGGTTCCTCCCCATCTCTCCCCTCTGCCCTCAAAACCACCGGTCACTCACCACAGAGCACACAAGCTGCCGCACACCCCTGAGAATCTCTGTGGGCGCCGTCAGACCGCGTTTGGAGAAGGCTGCTGTGCGGGCTAGCTCTGTGTCAACTTGGCACTAGCTGTAGTCATCTGAGAGGAGGGAACCCGTGTCTCCTCGTAAGGTCAGGCTGTGAGTAGACAAGCCTGTTGGGCATTGTCTTAATTGATGATTGAAGGAGGGAAGGCCCAGCCCATTCTGGGTGGTGCCATCCCTGGGCTGGTGGTCCTGGATTCTAGAAGAAGCAGACTGTGTGGACTGGAGAGATGGCTCAGAGGTTAAGGGCACTGGCTGCTCTTCCAGAGGTCCTGAGTTCAATTCCCAGCAACCACATGGTGGCTCACAATCATCTGTAGTGGGATCTGACGCCCTCTTCTGGCACAAAGTCATACTTGCAGGTAGATCGCTCATGCATAAAGTAAATAAATAAATCTTAAGAAAAAAAAAAAGCAGGCTGAGCAAGCCATGAGGAGCAAGCCAGTAAGCAGCACCCCTCCATGGCCTCTGCATCAGCTCCTGCCTCCATGTTCCTGCCCTGCTTGAGTTCCTGTCCTGACTTCTTTCAATGATGAACAGTGGTGTGGAAGTGTAAGGCAAACAAACCCTTTCCTCCCCGAGTTGCTGTGGTCGTGGTGTTTCTTCACAGCAATAGTCACCCTGACTGACACAGCTGGTGCAGGAGATGGGAGAGACACTTAGGTAATCTCCCCAGTAACCTCCCTGTTCAGAAAACCCAGGGCAGGGTATTCTGTTTTCTTGGTTTTGTCATAGTTTGTTATTCATATGTGTCTATGTGTGAGTGCACAGAGACCAGAAGAAGGCATCAGATGCCCTGGAGCAGGAGGTACAGGCAGTTTTGAGTGACTCCAGGGTGCTAGAAACCGAACCCAGGTGCATTGGAAGAGCAGCGGGCACGCTGACTCAACTCTCCAGCCTTGGTGGTTTGTTTTGTTTTTCAAGACAGGGTTTCACTGTGTAGCCATGGCTGTCTCTGTAGACCAGGCTGGCCTCAAACTCACAGAGATCCGACTGTCCCTGCCCCCTCCCTCTGCTCTCCTCTACCCCACCCCACCCCACCCCCATGCCTCCCCAGTGCTGGGATTAAAGGCGTGCACCATCACTACCAGGCTCTCCAGCCTATTTTTGTTTTTGAGGCAAGGTCTTGTGTGTCCCAGGAGAGCCTCAACCTCTGCATGTAACGAAGGATGACTCCAGCCCTGCCACACAGTGCCAAGCCTCGGCTGCTCTTCACGACCCCTTTATGCCTTCAAAACCGGTAGCACCTGGGCGGTTCCTATACTACCAAGTTCAGATGCCAGCTCAAGGCACGACGTTGGCTGTGTCCAGAACACAGCTTCTGTGTGCTGACTCTCAGGAAACACTTCCCAGAAGATTTCTCCTCAAAGATGCTGGTCACAATTTCTCAGCTCCAGCTGACCAGCATCGAGTATCCCAGCAAAGCAAAGGTTTCACTTTAGTAATCTGTTCTCTTGTTAATCATGGCTGAGTCTTCAGCCATAACTAACCGGAACACAGATTCTTCGCACAAAAAGCCCAGGAGAGTCTTTGCTTCCCTCTGACACTTCACCAGCCAGGCCCCCACCGTCTGCACTGCTCTCAACGTTCTCATCTTCCCAGCTCCTACAGAACAGACCACTGAGCTCTCAACACTCAAGGGTTTTGCTGGTCCAAAATTCCAAATTCCTTCCACAATCCTCCCCAAAATAACACGGTCAGACCTGTCAGCAATACCCCACTATCCTGGTACCAACTTGTCTCAGTTAGGGTCACCGTTGCTGTGATAAATCACCACGACCAAAAAGCAAGTAGGGGAGGGAAGGGCTTACTTGGCTTACACTTCCACATCGCTGTTCGTCATTAACGGGAGTCAGGGCAGGAACTCAAACAGGGCAGGAACCTGGAGGCAGGAGCTGATGCAGAGGCCACAGAGGGGTGTTCCTTCCACCACGGGCTGGTCCCTCCCTTATCAATCACCAATTATGAAAATGATCTCAGGGAGGCATTTTCTCAACGGAGGCTCCCTCCTCTCTGATGACTCCAGCTTGTGTCAAGTTGACGTGAAACTGGTTGGTGTACCTGCTTTCAATCCATTGTCTTACAGTTCAAACCTTCATCTTTGCTCAGGTCCTCATCTGCTTTTCCAGATCTCTACATACAACGAAGTGTGATGGGCAGGGTGTCATCTGCTTCCCCTGGGCACCTGGGCGTGCATTCTCCCCAAGCTGGTGTGAGAGCCCACCCCCTCCTCCATCATCAATTATAATGTGCTGGATGCTGTTTTCTCAAATTCCGACAAGGATTCCCATCATCTGTGGGGCAGAAGCATGATGCAGCTAGGAGGCTGCTGATGCCTCAGCCTAGACACATCCCTAAAAGGTCTGACAGGAATGCTATCTGCAGGGAAGACATGCCCTGGGAGCCTTTAGTTCAGGAAATCTGAGAACGTTGTGGTGGGTACCGTCATCCTCAGAGCCCACCTTCCTGTGGCAGCCAGCATTTGTACATGTGAACTTGGGTGAGGAGATCACATCTAAGGGTCTCTTCAGATGACCCTTCTGCCATTGCTGCTTCTCCACAGACCCCAGGCTGACACAGGAGCAGGCGGGCGTGGTGAAAAAGCTCTTTGTCTGAAGTCCGCTGCTCCTTCAGCGCCTCGTGTGTGTTTTGTCCCCGAGTGGGATGGCACCGTGAGAGGATTCAGACAGGGACAATTGTCTCAGAACTCTTTAGCTTGATTGTCCCCGAGCTGCACATGTTGTGGTCAAGTGAGGCCCACAGTCTGGGGTGGTGCCAGAGAATTAGACAGCGTGAGGACTGAGGATGGCAAGGATCGTCCTATTGTGCGCCAGCCCGGCCTGGCCTCCACACTCGGGAGCCAGCGAGGGGACAGCTATGCGGCTGACTGACTGACTGAGGCACTGAGCAATGAGCCAGGTGGCTGGGCTCAGGCGCTGCCTTACAGTGTGCAACCCACCTGGAGATATTGTCTCCTCCATGGTGGCCTGGGGTCCCCCTGAATTGCTTGTTGTTTTATCAGATGGCTGGTTTCACCCAAGTGTATCTTTTAGCAGGTCCCTAGAGTAAGAGGCCCATGCCTTCACGATCACAGCTAAGTGGTCCCATCGCTGCCCTCTACTGTGACACAGGTAAGGAATTAGTCATCTTCTGTAGTCTCTGAACAACCATCTGAGTTCGAGAGGGACCGGCTCTCTGCTATACAGTGACAGAGTGACAAGGACCTGGGGGGAGTTTGTTGAGGGTGCATTAGTGGGAATACATCAATGTCCCCTTGGGCATGAGCTTCACAGAAGGGACAGGATGGTTGCAGAAGGAGGCCGTGACTGGATAGCCACCCCACCCGCAGCAGTCCCCTTAACTATGAGTCGGGATGAGGAATTGCATGCGATTGAGGGCAAAGGCAAGAACTGGGAAATCAAGCCTTGTCCCTTGGCTGTGTTCTAAGGAGCTTGTGGCAACCTGTCCCTTGGTATTGGGTCCTGGGGTGGGGAGATTCAGTAAGGCCCAAATCTAACTCCACATAGATTCCAACATGGGGTGGGAGAAGGCAGACAGGGGATGCCCAGGGATGCCACACACGCTTCTCTGCTGAGCACTGTGCCTGCCACATCAGGATGGGAGGCAGGTCAGTGACTACCGGGGAGTGCTTGCATTCACTGATGTCAATAAAGTGAAGCCCCTCTTGACTCCACCAAAGCTGGTTATTTAAAAAGAATAAAAGAAAAAGAAGCCAGTCTCAGTCATGTGATGTCAGATGTTCTGAATGGTTGACCACTTAGCAGCCACAGACAGGATGGTTTTCAAAAATGACACAAAAGGAGAAAATTATTGGTTAGAGTTCATTCGGACACCATCACTGGTAGCCGACTGGGAGGTCCAGTGCCAGGGCATGCACAAACCCAAACACACACACACACACACACACACACACACACACACACACACACACACTGTATAAAAATAATTGTAAAAAAAAATCACAGTAGAGGCCAGCAAAATGAATCACAAACAGAAATCAGCAAAGCCCAAAGTTGGTTACTTTAAAAATAATTAGTTGTATCTGGGAAGTGGTGGAGCTTGCCTTTAATCCCAGTACCTGGGAGGCAGAAGCAAATGGATCTCTTTGAGTTCGAGGCCAGCCTGGTCTACAAAATGAGTTCCAAGACAGCCAGGGCTGTCACATAGAAAAACCCTGTCTCAAAAAAGCAAAAACAAAGACAAAAATTAGTTGTATTGAGCAAATTCCCACAAGATTGGTAGAGAAAATTTAAAACATGATGAATTTGAAGATGAGGAATGAGAGAAGGGCTTTACCCATGGACCCTGTGGGTTTTAGGGGATTGTCAGACAGGGTCCTGGACTGTCTCACTCTGTAGCCCAGGCTGGCCTGAACTCATGGAAACCTGGCTGCCTCAGCCTCCTGAGCTTTGGGATTAAGGGTGTGAATCTCTACCACTGGCAAAGCATTGTCTTCTGAGCTCCCGGATCTTGGTACTCTGCTTGGCTGACACTGAGCAAGGGCTCTTCTAAGGAATTGATTAGTCCAACTTCCCGTGGCTGTGGTCAATCTCTCAACAGCCTTGTCTCACAGGCCAAGTCCTTGAGGTCTGTCGGGAATAGGATCCAGCAGAAATGACATTCTTTTCCAAATGAATCGCCGGATGATTCTGTCCTGCTGGAGGTTGTTTTGATGAAAGTCATTGTGAATATTTGTCTTGTTCATGAAGTCTGAGACTATTGTGTCACTGGTTGGAGTGGGCTACACACAGGAGTCTCACTTCCAGAGAGGCTTAACTGAGGGAAAACCCTTCCTGGATGTGGACGGCACCATCCTGTGGGCAGAGAGCTGGGCTGGGATAAAGAAGAGGGGGGTTGAGCATTAGCTCCCACCTCTGCTTGCTTCCCGATTGGTGGGATGTGACAGCCACTCACATTCATGCTGTCGTGTCCACAGGGATTGAACCCTGAACTGTGATCTGAAATCCTTTCTTCTTCCTTACAATGCTCTTTTCAGAACAGAGTGGGGAAGTTAATTAAGACAGAAAGCTGGTGCTGGAGGAGTAAGAGTGTTGCCGAGATACACGTGACCGTGTGGTTCATAGACTTTTGGACCCGAATGTGGGGAAAATGGGGAGAAGATTGGAGCCAAGGGCTAGAGAAGTCCTGGAAAGCTGTAATCAGAACTTAATGAATCCTTTGGGTGAGAGTTCCCAAGATCAGGGCACTGAGAGAAATGTAGTCCATGAGGCTCCGGACGGGATCAGGGACACTATTTGCAAATGGACTAGAGGACATTTACATTGTATTCTGGCAGAGAATCTGGTTGTATCTTTCCCTTAACCTGAACAAAATGAGTGAGGCTGAATTTAAAAATGGAGACGAGGTGGTGGGTGGGGGAGTGGGGGAGTGGCACACGCCTTTAATCCCAGCATTGGGAGGCAGAGGCAGGAGGATCTCTGAGTTCAAGGCCAGCCTAGTCTACAAAGTGAGCTCCAGGACAGCCAGGGCTACCTGTAGAAACCTTGGCTGGGGGTTAGGGGAGAGAGTGGGTAATTCTAGGACAGTATAACATTCCGACTGTGGGTGGCTATTGTTCACTGCTCTTAGTGAGATCCACAGTAAGAGACAGCAAAAGATTTGATAAAATGTGCTGTTTGGAAAATAAAAAGAATGTAGGTGAGCTGAAAGATGCAGACAAGAAGGGCACAGACAAAACAGCTGCTAAAGAGAAACTGAACGAGCTGGAGAGATGGCTTAGTGGTTAAGAGCACTGGCTGCTCTTCCAGAGGACCCGGGTTCAATTCCCAGCACCCACATGATGGCTCATAACTGTCTGTAACTCCAGTTCTAGGAAATCCAACACCCTCTTCTGGCCTCCACAGGCATCAGGTACACAAACAGTGCCCAGAAGTATGTGCCGGCAAAACACATAAAAATAAATATTAAATAAAACATCAATATTAAAACGAGAGAAATAGAGGCTCTGCAGTGGGACAGCAGGGAAAGTGAGGGTGAGACCTCACTCCGAAGGCTCCTCTGCGAGGCTCCAGCAGTGTAAGAATATGCGCTTATTTAAAGGGAGACTGAGCTGATGTCATTGCTGGAAGATCTTCCCGACTCAAAACCGTCTCTCCGATGTGCATAGAGGTCACTACAGCTGTGCCAGAAAGATACCAGGTAGTATATTCAGCTGGCAACAGACCCTGGCAGCAGCAGCTTCTTGGTGGCCTTTTTGCCACATGGAAAACGCAAGAGTTACGGGACCATAGAGGCTTGCACCCAGGTTCCAGAAAGCTACCAAGGCTTGGCGAGGTGCAGAAGGATTGGAGTCTCTAAAGGGAGGCCCAGAGAAGCCACTGAGTGAAACAGAGAGGTGGGAGTTTAAATCACGGTGGAGACCCTGGGATGGAGGAGATACCCAAACTGTGGTCTATCTGCCATGGAAAGCTGCACACAGCGTGGAGACAGCCCAAGAGAGAGGCCAAGTGTGCTGCAGGCGGAAAGAACTGGAGGAAAGACTACCTGAGATAGCTGAGCCCAGATCCCAGGCATGGGGCTGCACCACCCAGTGTCTGCCCATCTGGATTTTGGTCTGGCTTTGGCCCAATCATTCTTTGCCGTGCTCCCATCCCTCCCATTTGTAATAACAATATTTATTCTATGCCATTGTATATCAGAAGCATGTAATTTTTACTGTCTTTTTTTTGTTGTTTACTGATTTTTATAGAAGCTCAAAATTAAGACTTTATCTTGAGTCACAGAAGAGACTTTCGACTTGTGAGCAATGTAGGGACTGGCAGATGCTACGGAGATTTTAGGACTGTATGTATTTTACTAGATGGAATGAGCCTTTATGGGACAGGGGTGGAATGTTTCCATTTAGAAGTAGTGTGTCTGGGCGTCAGGTTGGAAGGGGTGGGGTTGTGATGGTTTATTTTGTCAACCTAGAGTCACCTAGGAGACACATCTCTGGGCAGGTCTGCAAAGGCGGTTCCAGAGAGGCTTAGCTGAGAAGGGAAGGTCTGTCTGGAATATAGGCAGCGCTATCCTACAGCTTGATACTTTAAGTGAAATAAAATGTAATAATAAATAAATAAAAGGGAGAAATCAGGCCGAGCATCTGTGTTTACCTTTTTGCTGCTTCCCAAGGGCAGATGCAATGTGACCGGCTGCTCTGCCCTCTTGACTGACACATGCCTTCCCCTCCATGATGGACCTCATCCCCACAGACTGTGAGCTAAAATGAACCCGTTCTTCTTTAAGCCCCCTTTGTCAGATAATTGTCATAGCAAGGGGCAAAGTAACCAGCAGATGGATTTCTCACAGCCACAATGGCCCGTGCACTGAGGTCAATGCAGCACGCTGTACGGAGGTGAATGCAGTGGGCTGCTTGCTTTGAAGGAGGCCTGACTTTGCCACTTTCTTGGAATGACATACTACAAAGTTCTCATACTAAAAAGCAAAGGGTCCGAATGGCAGGCTTAACATGCTTGGACCCCATAGATCAACCACCCTAAGCTGAACTGGACCATTTCAGAGGAAACCACAACACTAAAGGTCCTGATGACATTTTGGCATTGATTGTTAGTTTACAAATTAAGGGAAACGGTAACAATACCTATTGGAAAGTGCCAGGTACTGTCTAAGTGTCACACAAGGTATGGAGATGAAGTCACACAGAGTCCAACTCTGGAACTCACAGGCACATACCACAGGCATGGCACACTCTCTCATTTCACATACAAGGTTACCTACCCTCTAGGATAAACGTCTACCTTTCTCTCTCTCTCTCTCTCTCTCTCTCTCTCTCTCTCTCTCTCTCTCTCTCTCTCTTTCACACACACACACACACACACACACACACACACACACACACACACACACATATATATATGACAGAAGGAGGGAATGGTTCTTAAGTTTACTTTCACTATTCTTTTATACATGGACTCAAGAATTTATGACAAATCACACTTACTACGCAATCTGGTAGCAACCCTGGCTGTTACTCAAATGGACCATTTACTTCTGGCTGGGATGGCCTACAAGTTAGGAAGTGTGTTAGAAGTCAGAAGCAAAGGTTTTACTGAATGTGTACAGGAGGTGTCTGTCCAGATTTCACAGTCTTCCTGAAATATATGTCCACTCAATGCAGACTTCTTGTCCTGTGGGATGGCTTTAGGAGTGTATCTGGGGTAAAGCTCTCATGGGCATTTGCAATCTCTCACAGGTTTTGTCATTGTTCCATAGAATTCGTAGAAAGCATTTGGTCTTAGATTCTTAAAAATCCAAGCCATTTCTGGTGGTGACCTCGTATGACCTCAGAAGTCCCTGGGCCTAAGGAGGCCAGGCAGTTTAGAGGCCATCTTAGAGGACTTACCAGTGTTCAAAGGTTTCTTTCTGGACAGTTATCAGTCCTACTCTATAAGAAGCAGCACACACCATCGAATCCCTCTTTTATTTAAACATTAAGAAATTGTATCACAGTGACTAGAAAATGTCCTCAGAACATCAGCAATGATGAAGAGACCTCACAAGCGCAGACCTTCCTTTGCTTACAGACAGCCATCGGCCATCCAACACAAACATGCTCCCATCTCTAAAGTGGAGAACCAGCGTACAAGCCCCTGTGAATAACCAACCAGGAAAAATGTGCTTAGCTTTGAACTGAGGCCAGTTAGAAGGGGAACTGGGAGAGAGCTGCCTGGAGAAGACAGGGAGGAAAGAAAATCAAAGCAGACACACAGACAGGGACGGACAGAGCAGTTCGGAGACCCAGAAGATGGACAGAGCGAGGAAGATCTCTCTCGAGGTCCCTCCTTTAGGACTCACCAGGAATTCTCC